GAACAAATGTACAACAATGTTTAACGCACTGGCGAGAGTAGCCAAGTCTAACTGGGGACTCGGTCAGGATGCACTCGAAGTTATTTATAAGGGAGCCTTCATTCCACGGGCGACCTACGGAGCAATCGCATGGCACACGGCAACAGAGAAGAAATGCATACAAAACAAATTGAATAGTATGCAGAGGTGCGCCCTCCTACGGTTGACGAAAGCATATCGTACGGTGTCAACGGAGGCGCTGCAGGTGCTTGCAGGCACTCCTCCTATAGATCTTATAGTAAAAGAAAAAGCTGCTCAATATAAGTGCAGAAGGGGTGTAAGGATTACAGTGGAAGGACAGGAAATAGCTGGGCCAGAAGTTGACCTGAAACCATCAATGATTGAACTTCCTGAACCATACTACCGACAAAAGATTCAAACTGCCCATGAAGAGGAGCGAGGTGAGGTGGAGGTGTTTACAGATGGCTCCAAAGTAGACGGGAAGGTTGGAGCGGCCTTTGTTGTTATTAACAACGAGAACAAAGTTTATGAAGATAAAATCAGACTAAGCGATAGTTGTTCGGTGTTTCAGGCCGAATTAAAAGCAATAGAGATGGCCGTTGAATGGATCTCAGTTAATTGTGAATCGAACAAGGTATTGATAACCACAGACAGTAGATCGGCAATTCATGCACTCCAGAGGTTTCAAGATACCAGTTTAACTGCAGTCAACATAAAAACTACTATACGGAAATATAAACTTAATATAAAATTTCGTTGGGTGAAAGCCCACTCGGGCATTGTTGGGAATGAAATTGCGGATCGGGCAGCTAAGGAGGCTGCCCATCTAGCGGATATAACTTATAGCAAACTCCCTCTCTCGGGAGTAAAATATAAACTTAGAAGTGTCACCATTTCGGAATGGCAAGACAGGTGGACTAACTCCAGCAAAGGGAGACATACATTTTGGTTGTTACCGAATCTCGAAGAACGAATTAAAGACTTACACTGGATTCCTATAAACCACATTACTAGCCAAGTATTAACTGGCCACGGTAATTGCAACGCATACTTACAGCGTATTGGTAAAAAACAGAACAGTAGTTGCGTTTGTGGCGAAGAGTTACAAGACATGGATCATCTGTTAAGTAAATGTTACAGATATGAACAACAGAGAGTTGAGCTCTCAGCGATCCATCAACTAAGCAGCACTAACTCTAATCTGGACTTATATCTAATGATACGAGATAAAAATCTTACTTGCGATCTATTCTCCTTCTTTAGAAGGATATTGATGTAAAGGTTGGGGAAAGTGTACCCCAAGCCTACTGCACCGGAAAGCTTCCGGTGGCCTCTGTAAGGCGAGCAAGAGCGCGCCAATAGTTTAATGTTAATTTTATATATTTTGTAATGAAAACTTGTTGTTTTATCTGTTTGTAATGAAACATTGTAATAAAGAAACGTTTTCCCTGTGGTGCGATAGCGGGACAGGGAGGACTCTGATCCCCTAGTAGGGGAAATGATGATTACTCAATGAAAAAAAAAAAGCACGAGTGTTGTCTGGAATAAATAAAATGCTTGTTGCATACAGAGCCAAAGTGATGTGTGTTGGTATAAATATTCCTACGTCTTCCGCGTATGATGAAATATTTGGACCGCTGAATAACAGTTAAAACAAATAAAAGTTATTAAACAGCTCTAGCTATCATTAAATATAATTACGGTTAATCTTTCAAGTCAATACTGTTACGAAGGTTTTTATAACGAAACAATAATGTAAATTCGACAATAATTTTCCTTACATTATTTAAAGTACAGTATATCGCATATCTAATATTTATTTAAGATATATGGATCGGATAACAATATTCTGCAATGACAAACAACAGATCCATTTCTCGAAATCTATTTTGCGTGAATGTAGCGAAAGAATAAAAATGCTATTACGTCCTTATTCAAATACATCTGTCTCTCTTTACTTACCATACTCGTCGGATGTTTTGCAACAAATTAAAGAGTGAGTTTCTGTAATTATCTATTTAATACTTACGTTGACATATTCTAATTTGCATTAATATCGTTATCTTCCGCTATAACGATAATTACCATCAGTTTTAAATCATATACAGTGGCTCTAATTATAGTTCCTTTTTAATCGCATTTTTTGTTTATAGATATCTGGAAAAAGGACCAAAAACCATAAAATTAATGCAGAATGCAACGGACATATTTTGCATAAGCAAACGATTAAACCTACGTAATTTAAATAAAGAATGTCGAAATTTCATGACCGATCCGTCAAGAGTTAAGAACGTGTGTTATGTACATGACTTAGCATGTCAACAGGACGATGAAAGATTACAATATTTGTGCTGGAATATATTTAATTCGAAATGGCAAGAAATTTTCTCATCGAACGAATGGCTGAACTGTCAAGCAACAACCATGGATAGACTCGTTCGTAGGCCAATAAATCCATTTATTGACGAAACAGACATCTTCACAGTATAAATTCAATTATTAAAACCATTGGTTTGGCTCATAGAATCCTCGAAATCGGAAATAGAAAGAGTATAATTTTTACTTGTTTTTAACTAAAAATTTTTTATTTTTAGTGTGTTAATCTTCACAGTAGTTTTAAAATGGGCCAAGAAAACAGTTAATAATGAAAAAGCTCTAAGGCAGGTGATGAAACCATTCCCTCAATACATAAGATTTCTGACAATGCCAGAATGGTTTCTGGAATCTCAAGTGTTCGTTGAACCGATCTTAACGGACGTAGAAAGAGATGCAATCAGATGTTACTTGCAAAATAAGGATTTCGAGGAGACATGGTTTATTCCAGAGAGTATTTGTGACATTACTTGTCCTAGAAAACACGAATTACTCTCGTCCTGGTTCCCTTATGTGAATCGAAGTGCATACTTTATTAAGAAAGTAAGGAAAATGAACACAAATATTCGATTCATATGCGACATAGTTGCTAAGGAAGATTGTTTTATCACCAAATTGTATCTTCCTATAACACATTGCAGGGAAGAAGGTATAACTGTAATCTTGAATTTTTCTGCTAACTTGAAGTTACGGACAAAATATCGTTTGAGAACAGCATGTAATATGAACGGATGTATTTTATTGAGTCATCTGCTACGGGTTCTAAAGTTTACATATTATCGATTGGTTGTTAAAATTGATACACAAGTCATTGCAGAAAATGACATAAGAATCAGTCCCTCGGCAAATTACTACAATCCATTCGAAGGAATTCAAAGTTTTAAATATTTGCAATCTGGATTGAAATTGCAAGATGAATTGGAGTACATCTACTTCGATGTCGTACCCGACTTTTAAAAACTGATACACAAATTAATTTTCGTCGTTATTAAATAATGTTAATCTCGTAATATTTAAAAATTTATGCGTTTTAATTTCGATTAATTAAATTAAATTTTTACTATCGAAGTTTTTTGAGTTATTTAATTTTTNCTAAAAAACAATAAAATTGAATATTTATATAACAAATAATGTAAGATCCCGCTTAAAGCAAGGGATGTGTTCCTAGACAGCAAAGCGCTAAATGAAACAGTGTTAAACAAGGTAATTTTAACATAGAGTAAATAGGGTTAGGGAGACATGCGACCTAAAATAAAAAAATTTTACTTTAAATTTAAGTTATTTTTATATTAATTTGTATAATAATATATGTTAAATAACACATAAACATATGCACACAGAAATATAAAGTTCATTTTTTGTGACGAAGGTCCTCACTTTTCTGAAATTCTTGTTTTTTTGCAATAAAGACATGAAGTTTCATTTGTCACTTTTCTCTTTCCTTAAGAAAATGTCGGTAGCAGAAGATCGCATACAAAATGCTTCGTTTTGCTTTTGCACTCCTTTCAAAATCTAAATCATTGCTACAATTTGATCAACAATTTCGGTTATCGTTACCAAACTTTTACTAAGGAAATCTGTAGAGAAATTTTTTGGGTTCTTTGTTTTCAGAATCACTATTTTCCAGTTCTACATGGATTCCTTGTTCTGCCAGTTCTTGAAGGTCATCATTGGTAAGGCTCTCACCAGAAACCTGAGGTAACTCCTCAATATCCTGTTCATCTACATCTTCTAGTCTTACTGTATCAATTAGGTTGAGTTTGATCAACCTAACGATACAGTAATAGGCTCTTCTCGTTGAAAATTCTTGGATACCTGCAGCCATAACTTCTTCCACACTTTGTTCGTGCATTTATCAGTTAATTCTTGCCAAGTGAAGCCGATATTAGTGAGGTTGAGGCCGAAGTTTTAATCATGAAAACATGTACGTCGGACATTCAGCGCTGCTTTCCTGTACGTCTAGAAGTTTGACAATGGTGTTTGGATAGTCAATGGAATCGGGCAGGGTGTCCCATTGATTTGTTTTGCGTTCTTTTGAGCTTCACTGGCTATTCTTTGGCGAATTTCGCTGCGCTCTTTTAGTCTTGCTCTTTTTAACACTTATAACAGTCCAGGGGAAGTAGTGTCGCACCTCCACGTGGTCCTGCCCGCAAGTAGCCCGAAAGGGCGAAACTAAGCGACAACTGCAATCAAAGACTTTCCAGTCCTTTTCAGGACTATGTCGGCTAAAAGGCCGCATTTACTTGTTTCCGACGACGAGTTGTCGTCACCTGAAGAAATGGAAGTCCTGCCTGAAGACGAGCAGGTGAAAACTGCGGAAGGTATCCGCGAAGAGGTGATCCATTACATGACATCGCATAAGAGATGCAGAATAGATACAGAAGAACACGTTACCTACGTGTGCACCCAGATCGACAGAATTATCGAGATGTTAAAGGAAAGAACTAGAGATCCATTGCAAGTGGCAGTGCAGAAACTACAAAAGAAAATTGACACTATACTTGAGCTGAAAACTCCAACTACGCCAACATACGCACAGATAGCGACAAGAAAGGTACAGAAACCCAAAAAAGAAGTAATACTTGTTGATCCGGAGTCTGAAGAAGACGACGCAGAACGAACCAAGCAAAAACTAAAGAAAAAGATTAACCCCAAAAAGATGGGTATCGGAATACAGTCAGTACGGAAACTCAGGAGAGGTGGCGTTGCCATTGAGGTAGCAACGACAGAGGAGAGAGAGAAACTAAGGAAGGCAATAGAAACTAAAGCAGGTCTGAAAACAAAGGTACCATCAAGAAGAAAACCAAGGGTTGTATTGTATGGTGTTGCAACCGACATAACCAAGGATGAGATAACAGAATGTCTCTATGAACAAAATGAAATAATCAAAACAAATATGACAGCTGAAGAGTTTAGTAACAACACAGAAGTCAAGTTTCAATTTGGGAACAAAAATAAAAACACAACGAATTGGGTACTAGAAACTACCCCAACAATAAGGAAATTAATGATCCAAATTAAAAAGACCAACCTGGGATGGACCAGGTGCGGGGTCGATGATTATATAGCGGTCACACAATGCTACCAATGTTGTAAAATTGGTCACATAGCTAAAGATTGTACGGAGAAAGGGCCGACTTGTAGCCAATGCGGCCTTGATCACAAGTTTAAAGACTGTACTAGGAGAGACAAGACAGAGTGCGTCAATTGTAAAAGAGAAAAGCTGAAAGTATTGAACCATAACGCTTGCTCTAAACAGTGCCCGCTGATTCAGAGAATCAGGAAAATATTAATAGATAAAACTGATTATGGCGAATAATAATACAAGCAAAATAAAGGATGGTATGATAAAAATTGTACAGATAAACGTTCAACGATCCATCAGCGGAACCTCGGCATTAGTCAAGACATTAGAAAAAGTGGACTTAGCGTTGATCCAGGAACCCTATTGTTGTAAAGGGATACCGGCGTGTCTGCGGACAGCTTACAGGGTAATATACAATAAGGACTTTTGTCCGTCCACGGTTGCTGTGATAAGTAATCCAAATATACCAGTGGTTTTTCATCATGAACTTAGTAACAAATTTATAACATGTTTCGAGGTGGGTAATGGTCCAAGGAACTTCCTGATGTTGAGTGTTTATTGCCCGATTACAATGGATTTAACTCCAATTATCCAAGAAATGGAAACAATTACTAATCACTTTAGAGACAAGAACATCATTATAAGTGGCGATCTGAACGCTCACTCTGAGCTCTGGGGAGACCCGGATAACGATGAACGGGCCGACCAGATTCTTGAATTTACAAATGCAAACAATTTACATATTCTTAACCAGCCTGACTCCCTGCCGACGTTCGATGCGCCCATCGGCAAAAGCTGGATCGATCTCACGATCTGTAGCAGTAACACATTGAAATATATAAAATTTTGGCAAGTTTCAGAGCTAAGTAGCCTGAGCGATCATAGTTATATCTTTTTTAATATCAGTACAACGGACGACATATACATGGTTGAAAGCGGATTCTACGCTATTAATAGAGCAAACTGGCAGCTCTTTCAGGAGAAGGCGAGTAATTTAATGGATGTCGATTTGTTGGAAGGATGTAATTGTAAGCAGGAGGTGGATAGAATTGTGACCCACTTTCAAGAGACTCTAATTTCAATATGCAATCAATGTATCCCTAAAAAGAAAAAGGGACACAGGGCAGTGCCTTGGTGGAACGATGATCTTACGATAACGCGACGAAGAAACAATAATTTAAGAAGGAGATATCAAAGAGCCCGCAACGAAAATGATAGAATGCGAAAGAGGACGGAATATTTTGAACACTGCAAAAAATATAAAACAAAGATTAAAATGAGGAAAATAGAATCGTGGAGAGAATACTGCTCTGCGAGTACCACTAAGCCTTGGGGTTTCTTATATAAAGCATGCACAGGCAAATTAAAAAAGCCTCCCCTCCTTACATCTATCGTTTCCGAAGGTAATTTTACGGTGGGAATTGAGGAGACGATCAATAGTTTAATGGACGCTTTCTTCCCATATGACAGTGATGAGAACGAAACGCCGTACCAAAGACAAGTACGGGAAAATGGAGACTTGCCTTATAGAAGCAAAGACGATCCAGAGTTCACTGTGGAAGAAGTGGAAAACGCCGTCAAAAGATTAAAACCTGGTAAAGCTCCGGGACTAGACGGAATCGTGACAGAAATTGTGGTGAAACTGTGGGAGATTAGCCCTACCTATATGACGACCATGTACAATTTATGTCTCAAATGGAAGATCTTCCCGTCAATCTGGAAGAGGGCAAAGCTGGTAATTATACCGAAGGGAGATGAAGTCAATCAAAGAACAGCGAAGAACTATAGGCCAATAAGCCTACTTCCTCTGCTCGGGAAAATTCTAGACTATTTGATCAGCCAACGTATTACCTACCACATAGTTAAAACAAATTATTTATCTGCTAAACAATTCGGGTTTCTTCCCGATAGAAGTACTGACGATGTTATCTACAAAGTGATCAGCGAGATCGAGTACATATTGGCAAATAGAAAGTATTGTTGCGCAATAAGTTTAGACATAAGGGGCGCATTCGACCACACATGGTGGCCCCTGATTATCCAGTCACTCAGGGAAGCGAAATGTCCTGAAAATATATTTTACCTGGTGAAGGACTATTTGTACAATCGCAGCATAATATATAATACCAATAGAGCAGAAGTTATTAAAGCATTGAATAGAGGGTGCCCGCAGGGCTCTAACTTGGGGCCCCTCTTTTGGAATCTGGCTTACGATCAGCTGCTGCGTATGGACAAACATCCAGCGGTAGCTGAACTTGCTTACGCAGACGACACAATTATTATATTCGGCGCAGACTCCAGAAGAGAGATCGAAACTATCAGTAAGCATACCCTTGATAATATAATAAGGAAAGGGAAAGATATAAAGTTGTCATTTAATCCAACAAAGACTAGAGCGATTGTTTTCTCCACGGGCCGAACAACAGATCTATACAAACGGATCCCAACCATTAAAATGGGACAGGAGAATGTCAAAGTAGAGAAGCAGCTCAGATACTTGGGCATTATTTTAGATAACAGGTTAACTTGGCTTCCTAATGCAATCTATATACGGAACAAATGTACAACAATGTTTAACGCACTGGCGAGAGTAGCCAAGTCTAACTGGGGACTCGGTCAGGATGCACTCGAAGTTATTTATAAGGGAGCCTTCATTCCACGGGCGACCTACGGAGCAATCGCATGGCACACGGCAACAGAGAAGAAATGCATACAAAACAAATTGAATAGTATGCAGAGGTGCGCCCTCCTACGGTTGACGAAAGCATATCGTACGGTGTCAACGGAGGCGCTGCAGGTGCTTGCAGGCACTCCTCCTATAGATCTTATAGTAAAAGAAAAAGCTGCTCAATATAAGTGCAGAAGGGGTGTAAGGATTACAGTGGAAGGACAGGAAATAGCTGGGCCAGAAGTTGACCTGAAACCATCAATGATTGAACTTCCTGAACCATACTACCGACAAAAGATTCAAACTGCCCATGAAGAGGAGCGAGGTGAGGTGGAGGTGTTTACAGATGGCTCCAAAGTAGACGGGAAGGTTGGAGCGGCCTTTGTTGTTATTAACAACGAGAACAAAGTTTATGAAGATAAAATCAGACTAAGCGATAGTTGTTTGGTGTTTCAGGCCGAATTAAAAGCAATAGAGATGGCCGTTGAATGGATCTCAGTTAATTGTGAATCGAACAAGGTATTGATAAACACAGACAGTAGATCGGCAATTCATGCACTCCAGAGGTTTCAAGATACCAGTTTAACTGCAGTCAACATAAAAACTACTATACGGAAATATAAACTTAATATAAAATTTCGTTGGGTGAAAGCCCACTCGGGCATTGTTGGGAATGAAATTGCGGATCGGGCAGCTAAGGAGGCTGCCCATCTAGCGGATATAACTTATAGCAAACTCCCTCTCTCGGGAGTAAAATATAAACTTAGAAGTGTCACCATTTCGGAATGGCAAGACAGGTGGACTAACTCCAGCAAAGGGAGACATACATTTTGGTTGTTACCGAATCTCGAAGAACGAGTTAAAGACTTACACTGGATTCCTATAAACCACATTACTAGCCAAGTATTAACTGGCCACGGTAATTGCAACGCATACTTACAGCGTATTGGTAAAAAACAGAACAGTAGTTGCGTTTGTGGCGAAGAGTTACAAGACATGGATCATCTGTTAAGTAAATGTTACAGATATGAACAACAGAGAGTTGAGCTCTCAGCGATCCATCAACTAAGCAGCACTAACTCTAATCTGGACTTATATCTAATGATACGAGATAAAAATCTTACTTGCGATCTATTCTCCTTCTTTAGAAGGATATTGATGTAAAGGTTGGGGAAAGTGTACCCCAAGCCTACTGCACCGGAAAGCTTCCGGTGGCCTCTGTAAGGCGAGCAAGAGCGCGCCAATAGTTTAATGTTAATTTTATATATTTTGTAATGAAAACTTGTTGTTTTATCTGTTTGTAATGAAACATTGTAATAAAGAAACGTTTTCCCTGTGGTGCGATAGCGGGACAGGGAGGACTCTGATCCCCTAGTAGGGGAAATGATGATTACTCAATGAAAAAAAAAAAGCACGAGTGTTGTCTGGAATAAATAAAATGCTTGTTGCATACAGAGCCAAAGTGATGTGTGTTGGTATAAATATTCCTACGTCTTCCGCGTATGATGAAATATTTGGACCGCTGAATAACAGTTAAAACAAATAAAAGTTATTAAACAGCTCTAGCTATCATTAAATATAATTACGGTTAATCTTTCAAGTCAATACTGTTACGAAGGTTTTTATAACGAAACAATAATGTAAATTCGACAATAATTTTCCTTACATTATTTAAAGTACAGTATATCGCATATCTAATATTTATTTAAGATATATGGATCGGATAACAATATTCTGCAATGACAAACAACAGATCCATTTCTCGAAATCTATTTTGCGTGAATGTAGCGAAAGAATAAAAATGCTATTACGTCCTTATTCAAATACATCTGTCTCTCTTTACTTACCATACTCGTCGGATGTTTTGCAACAAATTAAAGAGTGAGTTTCTGTAATTATCTATTTAATACTTACGTTGACATATTCTAATTTGCATTAATATCGTTATCTTCCGCTATAACGATAATTACCATCAGTTTTAAATCATATACAGTGGCTCTAATTATAGTTCCTTTTTAATCGCATTTTTTGTTTATAGATATCTGGAAAAAGGACCAAAAACCATAAAATTAATGCAGAATGCAACGGACATATTTTGCATAAGCAAACGATTAAACCTACGTAATTTAAATAAAGAATGTCGAAATTTCATGACCGATCCGTCAAGAGTTAAGAACGTGTGTTATGTACATGACTTAGCATGTCAACAGGACGATGAAAGATTACAATATTTGTGCTGGAATATATTTAATTCGAAATGGCAAGAAATTTTCTCATCGAACGAATGGCTGAACTGTCAAGCAACAACCATGGATAGACTCGTTCGTAGGCCAATAAATCCATTTATTGACGAAACAGACATCTTCACAGTATAAATTCAATTATTAAAACCATTGGTTTGGCTCATAGAATCCTCGAAATCGGAAATAGAAAGAGTATAATTTTTACTTGTTTTTAACTAAAAATTTTTTATTTTTAGTGTGTTAATCTTCACAGTAGTTTTAAAATGGGCCAAGAAAACAGTTAATAATGAAAAAGCTCTAAGGCAGGTGATGAAACCATTCCCTCAATACATAAGATTTCTGACAATGCCAGAATGGTTTCTGGAATCTCAAGTGTTCGTTGAACCGATCTTAACGGACGTAGAAAGAGATGCAATCAGATGTTACTTGCAAAATAAGGATTTCGAGGAGACATGGTTTATTCCAGAGAGTATTTGTGACATTACTTGTCCTAGAAAACACGAATTACTCTCGTCCTGGTTCTCTTATGTGAATCGAAGTGCATACTTTATTAAGAAAGTAAGGAAAATGAACACAAATATTCGATTCATATGCGACATAGTTGCTAAGGAAGATTGTTTTATCACCAAATTGTATCTTCCTATAACACATTGCAGGGAAGAAGGTATAACTGTAATCTTGAATTTTTCTGCTAACTTGAAGTTACGGACAAAATATCGTTTGAGAACAGCATGTAATATGAACGGATGTATTTTATTGAGTCATCTGCTACGGGTTCTAAAGTTTACATATTATCGATTGGTTGTTAAAATTGATACACAAGTCATTGCAGAAAATGACATAAGAATCAGTCCCTCGGCAAATTACTACAATCCATTCGAAGGAATTCAAAGTTTTAAATATTTGCAATCTGGATTGAAATTGCAAGATGAATTGGAGTACATCTACTTCGATGTCGTACCCGACTTTTAAAAACTGATACACAAATTAATTTTCGTCGTTATTAAATAATGTTAATCTCGTAATATTTAAAAATTTATGCGTTTTAATTTCGATTAATTAAATTAAATTTTTACTATCGAAGTTTTTTGAGTTATTTAATTTTTGATTTTATCCATCCTGTAGGCACTAACTTGTAAGTGAACATTTTTCTTCGAGGTTTATTGTATCAATACATTTGTGAGAAACCGGGGGCTAATATGTCGAGTGGTTCCTTAATGCCCCTTAACGGCAGGGTTGGGCAAAAACCGCTCACATGGTTGTAGGATGGCGTAGGAGGCTCTTTAGTAATATGCGAGTGGGGAATTCAGTGAGCGAGTCGATAGGAGTCGAATAACGACAGGTAATAAATACACGCAACAAAAGTTTAATATAAATCTAGAGCTATGGTTACAACAAGCTACAAAATACATAACTAAATACTATGCGTTTCACGAGGCGCTTTCCTGGTCCCTGAAAGACAGAACTTACACAATTTCTAACTAAATACCTCTGAGAGGGAGGCAGCTGGATAATGCCGAGTCTAGCCGTCCTGGGGGAAATCCGTTGGCAGCAGGGTGGCTGGTTTACCTCCTGTATGGCGTCTTGGGAAGCCCACCGGTGTCCACTGACAAGTGGGTATGGTCGACGAGTGGCTGAGGAATGGAGAACTTCTATGCTCTTCTGGTGACGAACGCCTGTATGTGCGGATACTTTATCCTTATATTCGCTTTTGGAATGGAAAATCCATCAGGTGATCGAGTGTTGTTGGAATGAAGGTTGATTTTGCAGGCATGAGGTCAGAGGTGTCTATCGATGACGTAATGATGTCACTTAAAAGAACCTGTCATGACTATATATGGTTCGAGATTTGTCCGATTCCTTCTATTTACTCTTTCGTCAGTTGGCTTTCGCCTGTTATAACAATAGGTTGTTTACTTTAACACTCGATGATTATAATTCTTTCAAGCTGTTGATAGAAAAGATGTCATTCAATCCGTTTTTTGTGCGATGTTTTCTTAAAGATCGCGACGGAGAAACAGGCTTAATTATTTCTTTAAATTTGCGCAAAATCGTGCCTACGATCCTCACATATTTGTCCATGCTCACAGTTGTAAGTCCCCGTAGTGAAAGACGAAGCATCAGACATTTTCATTAGATTATCAGTAAAAAGTCTGTCGGGGTTTTTCCCGGATTTGAACTTGTCTGGACCTCTTCGGCTGTCCACTATCTATAGACGGATTCAAAGTAGCATCGGAACCAAATACCTTTAATAACTGACGATACTCCTGACATTTCTTAGCGGCTAAGCCATAAATAGGAAAATAACGACACTTCGTCTTTTAGATTTCGTTTTCTGGTTACCACTCACTATAGACAAACCTTGAAATAAGCAACTTTTTCTTTTCAAAGTGATGTTCTTTAAAAAAAGTCAATTTTAACATCAAAAACAAATTAAAATTATATTATTTAAAATACACGATATTAATCTTAGGTGGAAAAAAGTTTTAATCCATAAATTACCGGTAATTTTTAAATTTCGGTTGCAAATAGCGCACTAGTGATTACATACAGACACACGAAAAAATCGCCAACTAAACAGTTACTAGTGCGCTAAATGCAATTAAATAACCTTTTTTCTATACTAAAAACAACAGTTTCATTGACTGAAAAATAACATACAATAACATTTTTTAGTTATCGTAATTAAAAAATTGCAAGTGAAAGTTTGCGATTCTGTCAACTAGAATCTCTGTAACATTCCAGGTATTACGAGTAAGGAAACAAATTTCCAAACTGTTTAGCATAGTGCTGTAATATGATATAGTTCTTTACAAATACGACGAATTTTAACTAATTACCATTAAGTAATTTACCGAAAGTGCACTTCATACACCGCATTGTTTTCATTCACTATTCTTTAGTTCTACTGTACATCCATTTTTTCATCCTCTCACTAATGGCCAAATGTAGTCCTATATAACCACCGAACATTGGATTCTGAGCCTGGACAATATGGGCTGGCTGCGTGATGTTTTCCGATATTTTTTCATTCACGTGTCTAACAACTGAATAGTTACTGATTTTCCATATAAGACCTTCAAGGTACGATAGCACATATATATGTTTTCATTAAACTGTCAATCCAATATCATTTCTTTCATTACATAATTTATTTGTAAATTCTTAATATACTAAAAAAATATTCAACTGGTTATGAAACACAATTTTAGCTGAAGAGGGAAGAAGCTATAGGAATCGATGTGGAAATCAGCAAGTCAAGTAATTAGACAAATAATAATCGATCTACGTGTTCCCACTATATGGAAAAAAATTTTTTTTATTCGGTAAGAATCAGTTGTAACGAAGTGACAAGTCCATCTATGTTTTAGAACATTGTAATCCTGCTCAGGCTTTCATACCAGTGAGCCACAAAACAAAGTAACTACTAACAACTTTTTCATTTTCTGGGTTTTGACAAAAACTTGAAGCAAAACGGTAATAGTCCAGTTGAAAGTAATGAATTGATAAACGATAGACCACATCTAAACCAAAAAAGGTCAGGAACTCACAAGACATTTGGGACATGCAAAACCATGACTACATCTTGAAAATTACTTCTTTTGAGTAACCTTCACTCGCAAAAGGACATTACAACAGACAATAAAAAGACATCAGAATCGGCAATCTTTTGCAAGACAAAGCACGAAGCAGACGCTCGATCAAGTGTTCAGAAAGTACAGTGTAAAAACAGGAAGTCGTCATTAGGCTACGCAGATTTGACGTCGTTCTCATAAACACAGGGATTCTCATCTTTAACTGAATGGTAACAGACAACAACATTTTTTGCCTGAACTTTATCTTGCAGATGGAAGCAGAACCACGTTGAGAAAAGAAAAGAATACCTAATAAAACATCGGTAGTCAAAAGTAAACGGGGACGTCTCTTTACTTTCAGAGAATTTTTATGAAAAATGTCAAAATGCTTGTTCTGCAAAGATTGTTTATAAATAAGCTTCGAAAAAAACCTTTTACTTTCTTTTATTTTTGTGTGTTTATTTTGATTTTATATAATTTTTAAATTTGATTACATGGATGCGTAGGAATAATGAAAAATGTTTATGCTTCCTAGGTAATATAACTTTATATTACTTTATATTAAGCTTTATCATATCTATTTTTTCGTTCAGTACATTTGGCGATGACTCAGATTTTTCGGAAACTCATCTGTTAATAATATTATCAACAAATACAACAAAATTAAATTTTATATAAAATACAAAATATCCATCAACAAGTGATTCTCTTTGATAATTGGAATCTATTGTTAAACGAGAGAATTTAACAGAAAGTAAGAAATGTTCTAATAGTGTCTGACAGTATTTACTGATTGATCATAGCAATTCAGCGCTGTCTAAACCAGTGTTTCTCAACCTCTAAGAAATCGTCGCCCCCTTCAACGTAGTATCGCCCCCTTCAATAAAACCGTTACGTAGTGTCGCCCCCTTCACTTCAAAATTCGGATGCCCAGGGCCAAGGCTAACGCCAAATTCGTGCTGCATCGAATAGACTTGTGACTAGAATAATGATATATATTTAATTGTTGTACGATATAACGAATAAAATATCTAATTATTCTTAATATAATGTTTTAGTATATCGCCCAGAAAATTGTTTCTCCCCCCAAAATATAAATTGCTGTGAGGTTTGCCGATTGGGGAGAAGGTGTCGCGACAGTCGAGCGGTCAGCACTGTCGTATGGGAGTGAAAGAACTTACTGAGACAGGTTATCCATCGTATACCGTTTAATAAATATAAAAATATTTCTTACAACAAATTCTTAAAACGGCGTAACACCTATCCAAAGTCGAGCAACAAGTTCGTAACACTAAAAGTTCAACTGTTCTGACGATAGTTTTTCTTCCGGCGATGGAGGCGTGAAGACGTCGACTCCGGGCTGTACAACACTATTTGGACCGAGGTCTTCTATCTACCAGGTNAGATGTTAAAGGAAAGAACTAGAGATCCATTGCAAGTGGCAGTGCAGAAACTACAAAAGAAAATTGACACTATACTTGAGCTGAAAACTCCAACTACGCCAACATACGCACAGATAGCGACAAGAAAGGTACAGAAACCCAAAAAAGAAGTAATACTTGTTGATCCGGAGTCTGAAGAAGACGACGCAGAACGAACCAAGCAAAAACTAAAGAAAAAGATTAACCCCAAAAAGATGGGTATCGGAATACAGTCAGTACGGAAACTCAGGAGAGGTGGCGTTGCCATTGAGGTAGCAACGACAGAGGAGAGAGAGAAACTAAGGAAGGCAATAGAAACTAAAGCAGGTCTGAAAACAAAGGTACCATCAAGAAGAAAACCAAGGGTTGTATTGTATGGTGTTGCAACCGACATAACCAAGGATGAGATAACAGAATGTCTCTATGAACAAAATGAAATAATCAAAACGAATATGACAGCTGAAGAGTTTAGTAACAACACAGAAGTCAAGTTTCAATTTGGGAACAAAAATAAAAACACAACGAATTGGGTACTAGAAACTACCCCAACCATAAGGAAATTAATGATCCAAATTAAAAAGACCAACCTGGGATGGACCAGGTGCGGGGTCGATGATTATATAGCGGTCACACAATGCTACCAATGTTGTAAAATTGGTCACATAGCTAAAGATTGTACGGAGAAAGGGCCGACTTGTAGCCAATGCGGCCTTGATCACAAGTTTAAAGACTGTTCTAGGAGAGACAAGACAGAGTGCGTCAATTGTAAAAGAGAAAAGCTGAAAGTATTGAACCATAACGCTTGCTCTAAACAGTGCCCGCTGATTCAGAGAATCAGGAAAATATTAATAGATAAAACTGATTATGGCGAATAATAATACAAGCAAAATAAAGGATAGTATGATAAAAATTGTACAGATAAACGTTCAACGATCCATCAGCGGAACCTCGGCATTAGTCAAGACATTAGAAAAAGTGGACTTAGCGTTGATCCAGGAACCCTATTGTTGTAAAGGGATACCGGCGTGTCTGCGGACAGCTTACAGGGTAATATACAATAAGGACTTTTGTCCGTCCACGGTTGCTGTGATAAGTAATCCAAATATACCAGTGGTTTTTCATCATGAACTTAGTAACAAATTTATAACATGTTTCGAGGTGGGTAATGGTCCAAGGAACTTCCTGATGTTGAGTGTTTATTGCCCGATTACAATGGATTTAACTCCAATTATCCAAGAAATGGAAACAATTACTAATCACTTTAGAGACAAGAACATCATTATAAGTGGCGATCTGAACGCTCACTCTGAGCTCTGGGGAGACCCGGATAACGATGAACGGGCCGACCAGATTCTTGAATTTACAAATGCAAACAATTTACATATTCTTAACCAGCCTGACTCCCTGCCGACGTTCGATGCGCCCATCGGCAAAAGCTGGATCGATCTCACGATCTGTAGCAGTAACACATTGAAATATATAAAATTTTGGCAAGTTTCAGAGCTAAGTAGCCTGAGCGATCATAGTTATATCTTTTTTAATATCAGTACAACGGACGACATATACATGGTTGAAAGCGGATTCTACGCTATTAATAGAGCAAACTGGCAGCTCTTTCAGGAGAAGGCGAGTAATTTAATGGATGTCGATTTGTTGGAAGGATGTAATTGTAAGCAGGAGGTGGATAGAATTGTGACCCACTTTCAACAGACTCTAATTTCAATATGCAATCAATGTATCCCTAAAAAGAAAAAGGGACACAGGGCAGTGCCTTGGTGGAACGATGATCTTACGATAACGCGACGAAGAAACAATAATTTAAGAAGGAGATATCAAAGAGCCCGCAACGAAAATGATAGAATGCGAAAGAGGACGGAATATTTTGAACACTGCAAAAAATATAAAACAAAGATTAAAATGAGGAAANTCATGGTCAGTTGCGCGCTTGAGACCGCCAAATTCAAATTATGGTGCCTATGTCATTTTGTACGTATATGTCATTTTGTCCGTATTTCCCCTACTCAAATTCATCTATTGTTTCTTTCTGAGAAATTCGTTTTTTCTCAGAAATTTCTACAGATATGACTTTATATGGACATTAAATATTCATTTTGCGTTTGATGGTTTCTTTTTACAATATAAAATAATAATTATAATTTTAGAACATTTTTTTCCATAAGATATTACAAACATTTTCGCTGCACTAATTTCGACCCACTTCCAGAGCCTCACATTGTTACTAATCGCCCACATGGGGGCGATTAGTAACATAGGACACGTCAACAGAATGTACAGTACACTAAGAAGGGATTTTTTGATATTCCCCCCGCGGGGGAGAGAGACAGGATTAAGGCTTACTCTGAAAAACTTGGCTTCTATTATANACAACACTATTTGGACCGAGGTCTTCTATCTACCAGGTGGACTTTAGCGATCTTGATGGCACGGGAGGGTGAAGACAAGTCCTCTGAATATCTGACAAGTTCTCGTGGGAGAATGTCTGGATGACAAGAATCCAGGAGAGGAGCACTGCGAACCAAAGGCCAAGAACTACGAACCAAGAACTTCACATCCTATTTTTGCGCGGTTTTTAAAGTTTTTTTTTTCTGGGTCCCAGATCGAACATTCCGATAGGTCGATGCCGATTTGCCTGTTCTCTAATTGGTCTTCCCTCCTCGTTACGAATTGTAACGGGATCGGAACCCAGATCGCGGGGTGAGTCCCCCCGATTGACAATTTGATTCCTATCGAAGATGTTCGATCTAAGTAGGGGAAATACGGACAAAATGACATACGGTTTTATTTTAGGTTCATAACTCTTTATTGGTAAATCACAGCACTGTCATATTTTACACCAATCATCTTTGCTTTTTTACCTATGAAATATACTAAACATTTACAATATTAAAATAATAGGAAAAAAATATTGTTAGTTCAATCGAGATCACCACTATGGACAAAATGACATACACGTAAAAACTATAAAATTACTGACAAAGTTTACAAATGAAACGCTTGGCTCTTTTAGAAACGTCAGCGCAAGAAGCATGAGCCCAACAGAAACAATTTAAGCACCGTAACCAGTCTTTTCCAGGCTTAGATCGGGAAAAAAAGATCATCGCAATATATGCATGGACAGTCTTCTTCATCATCATGAGAGTTATTAGGAAAATTTTCTTTTTCAAGTAACTTTTTAGTAATGTTTCGTCTCCTTTTCTCTGGCGGAGCTTTGGACTCATTTTTTTGATTTAATTGCCTTCATATTAGGAGTAGAAGTTAAAACTAAAGAGTTTTGTCGAGTCACGTGATTCGTTGCAAGTTTTTTGTTATGTGAAAGATAATAAGTTTGTAAATAATATGTAAGAAAGGAAATAAAGTTTTATACTAAAATTTCTTTTAAACAATAATGAAAGACTTTGTTTGGAAGCCATTTTTACCGAACCCACGACATCC